CAACTCCCCGACATCAAAGAACAAATTGCCATGAAGACATCAAAGGGGAGATTGCAAGGATTTCTTCAACAAGCCTTTTCAAGAAGTCGAATGCAAAGACAAAGGAAGCCGAGCTGCATTGAGGAGCAACTGAACACAAAGACAAAGACATCCGCGCTGCAATGCTGATCAAACAAGATTGAACACCAAGGGGGAGATTGTTAGGACTTTTTCTGGTGTCCAATCTAGTCAGATGCCTTTGTATTTGTGTAGTTGGTAGTTAAATGTGTAATATGGGCCACAATTGAATATTAGCCCATTAGCCTCTCTTGTAAGCCATAAGTTAGCCATCCTCTCCTATAAAAGGAGGCTAACTTATGAGGAAAACCGAGAAAAGGCATAGAGCATAGAGGCAGAATAGAATAGAATAGTTTCAGGCTGCTCTCTCTCTAGAGGGAGAGCAGCGGCCATTTCATACAGTATATCAATGTTCTCGACACTTTGATATTAAATGAGAAATCTTTCTGTTTCTTCTTTCATTCTTATGATTGTTTGGTTGTTAGAAATAGGGACTAACAGGAACAGTTCCTATATATTATCATCTCCTTTCTTGTTATTGCCTCCTTGCTTCCGTGATAAAGGAAAATAGATCTTTGCATGACCTAATCTCAAACATGTAGAACAATAAACAATTCTATCTTCGTGGGTTACTTACTGAATGATCTACTATACGAATTCCCATTTTTATAAGAATGTTAGAAGGAAGCTCCTTAGTCAAATTTCGTTCAACACAAACCCTAACTGTGGAGACACTGGTTAATGTTGAGGTTGCAACATCGGTTTTTAGATAAGATCTTACCATTCAAGTAATAGAAAACAATGCTCTCTTACCTTGAAGATGGATAGGTATCCCTTCAAATGAAATCTAGACTAGTACCATAGAGAATTCTACTTTGTGAGGAAATTTGGTGTCCAACGGATTATACGCATTATAAATACACATATTTTCCAAGCCTGACATATCCAACATCTCTGAAAAATCTTTCTTGAGGAAAAAATTAAGCAGAATATGGTTATGATCCAATACTCCAAAAGTCGGCTTCCCTTTGAAGCCAAATGCTTCAAGCTCCTCCCGTATAACAACTACCTATCGTGAGTCTTGCATATTCAAATACCCTACTAGGGCATGTTTATGCTTATCTGGGAGAACTTTTACCTCCACGATGAAAAATTCAATAGTCGGAAGTGCCTTGTGATAAAATGGGTTTTTTATGGGAATGCTTTATTCCTTATTCGCAAACAGTACTTCAACAAAGGGTTAAGACGCAACGGCCGATGTGGTACGCATTCTTGAACCCATGGGTCATGTTCCCCTCATAAATAATTTAAGAAAAATTTGAACTTTTGTTTTTCAGGATCCCTCTTTAGACTTTGAGGATATGATGTAAGGGGTCATATGGGGGTACCTTTGGGAGTTGTTTTAGTAAACAATATTGATTCAGTTTTTTGTCCCTTGATCACTAGTAACATAAATCGTCATTACATCTTCAACAGATTTTTTGGCATTTTCCCAGTTTCTCTAGAGTTTCTTGTTGCACCGTGTTGAGAAATTTATACATCGATGTTATGAATGAAGCTCCTTTCGTATCTATCGAGGTTGTCCATCCGTTGATTTAACTTCTTATTTTGATCTTCAAATACAAGATCGAATTTAGTGAATTGAGAATGGAGGTTCTCGATGGAAGCTTTGATTCGGCTGTGGTTCACTTCAAGTTGGGCCTTTATGCTAGCAATTTTTTTGTGAGTTTTTTTTATCATTTCCTCCCTCGTTGGACCTTAAAAAATGGGGGTTTAATGGTCCTTTTAAATGCCCCCTTAATAATCATCGTGATTCTTTTGATCACTATTCCCCGCGTTGCCCCTCCCACCATCCATTTGAACGCATTTCATGATCCCAAACCACAGGTTGGATTGGTAGCCTTAAGGATAATATATACTTAAGTGGACCAATCATAAAATCTTTATCTATTATGTCATTATTATCCATTGGAACCTTTGGAAAATGCGAAATGCTACCCTTTTATGAGGACATTTCACCAAACTACTCTGAGGTTGTTTATAACTATAAAATGGATCTTTATTATTTAACCACTTCAACCTGATCTATGAAAACCTCTAAGAATAAACCCCACATTATCTTTTAGAATTCTCCTCAATTAATTATCTTACCCTAAACATAGCGCGCACACAAAATGGTTTAACACGAACTTTGGTGTCATTGTTCGTAATCATTGGGGGGGCAAGATTACCCACCGCTTTTACATCTTGTTTAATCAATCCCACTAGAAGGATTTCATCGAAGTAATTACGTATATCTTACAAAGTGCAGGGAGGAGGGGATCCACATCAGTTACATTGATATATCTGACTTTCGTATTTTTCAAGCTATAAATCTTCACTACATCAGCCATTAGGACCTCATTTTCACTATAACTCGCATACAGAGGATTTACATCAAAATCACATTCTCCTAAGTGACGTCTCAGATATAATCAACTATGCCGCAAAAGCTATTAGCAACAGGGTTGATTTCAAATTTACCTGATTATATTCCTAAACATACTTAAGTTTGATGCTATTGTCTTTCCTTATTCATTTAGTCTCTGTATTTTTTTGGTAGGTTTTGTCCACATGCCCCCTAACTTGTACTCTTTTTTATCTAATAATTTGGTGGGGTATTCCCTGACCCTCACCCCAAAATCTTTGGGTTACGAACTCTCACCAGGTTAAAAAAAAAAGAGTTTCAGCTTATAATATAATTCACATGTAAATTACATTAAATATACTTTTAAATCAAATATGTGCATATATTTAAAGAAATATTTGCATAAAGTTTTGAATAAAAGTGCATCTATTAACTATTGTGTGAAAATGGTCAAACTTATGTTGATTCCGTTGATGAAATATTATATGAAATAAAAGGTGAAAAAAGTGAAAAGGTGACAAACTAGACAAATGTGGAAAATAATGGACATATCAAAACAAGAGAAGGTTGATACCATGTATAATAGTGTTGTATATATATGTGTGTGGGTGTATAGTGTTAGATACTACTCCGTAGTTCTTGTGCGTTATATACTTGTATAATTTGTATAAGTTTCTTGTATGTTAGATGACAATTCATATATGTATATATGACATGTATCACTTTCAAATTTGTAGCCAATTTTTTTGGTAAGTACCGGTAATTGTGTTTTAAACTTCTGTATGATGAGGAGGTGGGAGACACAACACATTATCCACAATAAATATTCATTTTAACGATTACAACTTCGCCCTTTAATAACCACCACAAATTCAATTCTTTAGAAATACAAATAATCTCTTACGCTTGTCCACACCAAAATTAGGTGTACGAGACATCATTCATCCAGTTTTTAATTACACTGAGTGACTATGATTTGTTCTCATTCCTCACAATAAGAGTTGTTCTCATTAGAATCACTTTTTACATTTATATTATGGATCAAATAAGAACAACGTTTTTCGTGAGAACACGAGAACAAACACTTTTACCCCGATGTGTTGCACAATGAAGCTCGTATGTTGCATTTTTTTCACATTATTGGCATTATATTTACCAAAATGATCACCACATTTATTTGATATTGGTTTGATATGATCAAAGTAAAAAATGCAACAAACGTGGTCCATTGTGCACCACATTGAGGTAAAAGTGTGAACATTTACACTTTTTACTTGATTTATTGCACTATATAGTTTCTATGCTGCACTTTTTTTTCCTTGAGAGAATACTTTGATTTATTTACCATAATGTCACCACAATTTTATCTCGCATGGCTTCATCAATTATATTTTAAAAAACCCAACAAATGAAATTTAGGGTGCGCCAAAGTGGGTACAAGAATGGTTTGTAGTTTGCATGATAATGATGATTATTATTGGAACTGCACCTTGTATATATATAGAGTGAGGTTCCAATAATAAAAGATAGGTAAAAATGAGAATGAATATCAGCCGTTGAATTCAATTATCTTGCAATAAAAGACACTTTCTCAATATTGACTTCCACCCCTTTACCTCTTTTTAATCTTTCGAGACCTCCCTCTCAATTTAGGGCTCCCTTTTTGTTGTAGAAAATGTTTTTTATGTTGTTCTAATTAAATCTGCCTAGAAGATTAATTTTATCCATTCTTCCATATCTTTATTTTATGTAATCCAATGTACATACGTACTCACATACGTAGTAGTGGTAGTACTACCTCCGTTCCCCTAAGATTGAGACAAAGGAGATCGAGTAGTCCATTTTTTAAAAAACGTAGAGTTATGTGATTGATAATGAATTAATAAAGTGGAAATAAAGTAAGAATGAATTAGAGCATCTCCAATGTTTTTTTATTGAGGACTTGCTTGCAATTTTAAAGCTAATATCTTACCATTGGAGCATTGATTATCCTTTTGTTTGAGAAAACTAATTAACCGAAATGAGCTACTAGTTTGAGCAAAGAGAATTACTAAATATGACACTATTATTAATAAATGGAGAGGAAGATGTTATAGCTAACCAGTGAAGCAAATTTTAATTTTTATTGCTTCAAATGTTTATGTGGCTAGTCAGGTTATGACGACAATTAGCTAACTGCCGGAGATGTTCTTAGAGACACAAATATTACTAAACATAGTATGAGACAAATTTAGTGGGACGAACGAAAATTAAAAATTGAAATTGGCCTGAATATGAGTAAAAACGTTCTGAAATTCCAAAATGGGAACTTCATGTTTTTAATCCTTAAACATCAGTAATTTTTGCCAAGTTTGGAAAAAACTGTCATGTTTAAAGCGTGTTAATGCCAAACTTGGCAGAAAATACTGATGTTTAGGGATTAAAAAATATGACAATCCTATTTTAGAATTTCAAAATTTGTTTACTCGTATTTTGAGAATTTCCCAAAGAAAAATGAGACAATTATACTGAGGGAATATATGATACATGTACATACCTTGTTATAAACCATGCAGTTTCCAAAGAAGCCTTTGTCCAAACCCAACACTTTCCTGACGTCCAATCCAACAACCAAGTCCATATTCTTGACCTTGCTAATGCGGGTCCAGAATAGGCCGGCAAGTGCCTCAAACGCGCCCCCACCGTGGGCATCCGCTACTGTTTGTGCCATTGACATGCACTTCATCACCATTTGGTCCGAGAAGAGTAGAGTGATCGTCGACGTTCGTTTGGCCGCCGGATACATTTGTTTTTGGGTACTGATGAATTTGCAGTAGTGCTTGATCAGGGAATTATTATTATTACGAGTACAGACCTGTTTGTTAACCGCCGCCGCCGCCGGGAAGGGATGGAAGTGAGGCGGACACAGCATTTTTCCGGCGAAGGAAATGTCTGCCCATGCTTTCATGAACATTGTGGCGGCAACGGGATCAGCAAGGAGATGCGTGCAGCTCAGCCCAATGGCTACTCCGCCTTCTTCAAACTCGGTTATCTGCAATAATATATTAACATCCATCCACCTACTCCATCACAAAACTAGCTTACGACTAAGTTCCCTAGTAAGAATTGAAACTTGAAAGAGACATGATCGTTCAGACTTGAAACAGACCCTTAACGAGCAGTCAAACCATAACCGGAATCAGTGACGGAACCAGGTCTAGGATCTTGGAGGTGCACATAATGAAAAAGGAAATGTGTCCGACAACTCGGCAAGGGGGGCGGCTTGCTGTAGCCCTAGAATTTTGGTCTTTAACAAAGCGGACGGCGGCAAAGGTAGTGCGGAAGAGGTTGCGGCGCTGGATATATATTAATTTTTTTAAACTAAAACGTAAGGATCCATGAAATATATTTAATCTAATGATGTTGCATAGATATTAAAGCGAGGAGTACTACCTCTATTCCATTTCATTTGTCTTATTTAAGTTTAGCAAAATCAATAATAAAGTGGTTCAAAGGTAAAATTTGTGAATGAGTTTTTACAACAAAAAAAATGTATGAATCACATATTTTTTGCTATAAAAGGAAGCAAACCACTTACTTTTTGTAACTTGCACGACAAAAAAGCACTGAAATCAAGATTATTAGTAAGGAATATCGTCCCTAACAACCTTGTTTGAGATTTAATTAAAAATCGATCAAGCAAGGTTCCTCACAGAAAAATCCTTAATGATCAAACACTTAATTATTACGTAGTAATAATCTATCTCTCAATTAATTAATTAAACATGTGTTTATATTAATTGAGAGATTTTTACCCTTTTCTAACTAATTAAAAGGTCAAGAAAATAAAGCATGGGTGAAAGTACTTTTATTTCACCATTTTGAATATTGTCGTTGATCATATATACTCTTGAAATGAATAAGTACTTTCATTTTGCCAATAGTATACTAGTACTTCGTATGAGTGGAGCAGACCTCTGAGTAATACTCCGTATTCAATTGTATACTTCGTATTCAATAGATCAGATATACTCCGTATTCAATAGTATACTTTGTATGAGTGGAGAAGATCTCTATTTATACATATATACTTTAAAAAAGTTGAAGGGCTGTAGGGGCACAAGCACCTCCAAGCTCCTATGTGGTTCCATCACTGACCAGAATTGGCTCTAATATCATGTTAAGATTCGGGGTTCCATTGTAAGAGGTTAACCTGATAGGAAGAGTAGCCCAAAACCTTATATAGTATTTTATTATTTTATAGTTTTTCGATGTGGGACAAATACTTCAATACTAATTCAAAAATGGACTTATTTCCCTAAATGTGATTGAAATAGTGAAAAAGACTCAATTAGCTTACAAAGAAAAACATACCAGTTTTCTTCAAACAATGAAAACTGCAAAAGTTGCTATTTCGGGAAGAAAAACATCGCAGTCCTATTTTGAAAATCCAAAACTTGTTTACTCCTATTTAGGGCAATTTACTTTCATTTAAAAAATGCAATATATGTTTTTATAAGGGAAAATTCACTTTTAGTCCATGAAATAGTCACAATATTGAAATGTCAGACCCGTTTGTAAATGTCATCGCTGAATTGTTCAAATTGCTGTAAAAGTGGTTCTTTAAGAGTGAAATGTACAATGTGGGCGAGGAGTACATTCATCCCTCAAACTCTCAAGGGACCACATTTACAGCAATTTGGACAATTGAGGGATGACGTTTACAATATCAAATATACGAGTCTAACATTTTAATATGGTGTCTATTTCAGGGATTAAAAATGTGATTTTCCTTTTTTATAATTTCCCCGAACTCATGTGTAATTACTTTTTATTCATGCATCAGATGCTTTGTATCAAATAAATTATATTTAAATTCATACGGAGTTCGAATAATAAATCCATTTATATATTAATATCTTATAAAATAAGGATGTTTAAACTAAAATGTTTTGGTCTATTTAAGTCTGGTATGATAACGCTCGGTTATTATGTTCATTACTCACTCCCTCCCTGTAACACTTGAGATTTAATATAAATGGATTAATAGTACTACTCATACTAACAATGTGCATCTCCTTTTAAGGGAGCTCATTAGCCAAGAACTCCAAAGTTAAGCGTGCTTGCACGGGAGTAGTCATGGGATGGGTGACCTCCTGGGAAGTTTCTCAGGGCGCGCACGAGTGAGGACAAAGTGTGCGTAAAAGGCTGGTGGCGGTTTGTGAGGACAGTACTAGAGGTCTGGAGTAACTACCTCGGGTCCTACGGGACTGGGCTGTTACAGGTGGTATCAGAGCAACCCTGCGACAGTGTGTTGATCCGTTGGATATCGGGCGGGCCCTTAGCAGGGGAAAAAGATTCTGGGGTGTGATTGAGATTGGTTTAAGGGCGCAACGAGGACGTTGCGATCCTAAGTGGGGGTGATTGTAACACTTGAGATTTAATATAAATGGATTAATAGTACTACTCATACTAACAAGGTGCATCTCCTTTTAAGGGAGCTCATTAGCCAAGAACTCCAAAGTTAAGCGTGCTTGCACGGGAGTAGTCATGGGTGGGTGACCCCCTGGGAAGTTTCTCAGGGCGCGCACGAGTGAGGACAAAGTGTGCGTAAAAGGCTGGTGGCGGTTTGTGAGGACAGTACTAGAGGTCTGGAGTAACTACCTCGGGTCCTACGAGACTGGGCTGTTACACTCCCTCCCTCACTCTCTCACTCCCTCACTCCCTCACTCACTCCCTCACTCACTCCCTCCCTCACTCACTCACTCCCTCCCTCACTCCCTCCCTACCTCACTCACTCACTCACTTATTTATTTATTTATTCATTTATTATTTATTTATTTATTTATTTATTTATTTATTTATTTATTTATTTATTTATTTATTTATTTATTTATGATCTACATTTGGTTTGATCTCATTTTTTAATCTAATTTAACATTTTAACCTAATTTGTCACTTAAACTAATTTGATTGAAAACAACATAAGGACCAACTAAAAAATCATGCGTCCCGGTACGAATATTTTCCACAATAAACCTTGTCGACCATCTCGATATGAATACTTTTCCATTCTAAACCTTGTCGAGCATTTTCCTCACTGTAATCCCCGTATTTCTTAAGAACATACTCCAAACAGGAGTGAAAATATTTATCTAAATAGAAGTCATTAATTCCATATTTGACATGCATTAACAGACTTTAAGCATGACAATAATTTTCAAAAATGACAATAATTACTCCCATTTAGGGAATAAATATGTCATAGTCCTATTATGAAATTCCAAAACATTGTTACTCCTATTTTGAGACATTTCACTTATTTCTAGCTTCTATATCAACACCTTTAACTAGACATAACCTCAAATTAGCGCATGTCTGGATATTGTTTTTTTGTACCAATTGATGATTGATGAAAAAGTTAAATTTTGCTCGATAAAATATACTTCGTACATAGTATATTAATAAAATTAAATTTATATATTCAAAAGTAGTGTTAGAAGTTGGAGAAGATTCAAATTCAAATATAATAAAATATTATATTATGTATATTAAGATATTTAAATAGAAAAGGTTTTTCCTAAAATATTACTAATAAAAAAGTCATAGATAGAAATGTGACTTAGTAACTTTAGTGACTATAATTGTGTTCAAAGTTTACATCATAGTAACTTTGAACACAATTATAACCACTAAAAGTTATCAAGTCACATTTTTATCAAAATACTTTTCCAGGAGTAATATTAGTGGTATTTTTTCTAAATAGAACTACATTTACTAAAGTATGTGAATCTTAAACTCAAACAATGTGAAGTATATATGTATGTACAACCCCGTCTAAGAAGTGTGTAATACATACTCCATTATACTTTTCACCGAAAATGAAGTTGATGATTCAATTTATTTATTCATCAGTGTTGACCTCTCTTTTTGACCTCTAACACTTATGTAACAATTAATGTTAATTTATCATAAACCATATTTAAGCTTATACGTATTTTTTTTATGATGTAGCAATTGGAAGTAATAGTTGGTACTAATGGTGGGTGGGAGGGGTAGGAGTCACTTAACTCTCAACGTGTATATCAATATAAATAGTTGTCTTTCAAGCTTGAAACACTCTATATATATATATATATATATATATATATATATATATATATATATATATATATATATATATATATAGACAAAAGTTCATGTCCGGAATTCCGGACAGGAACCGCCGTCCGGACGGCGGCGTTTGGCCGCCTTCCCGGTGGAATTTTTTGATGAAATTTTTATGGAATGTTCTCCATCAAGTCTAGTTTATCCAAAAAAAAATTCAGCCAAAAACTCAATCGGGAAGGTCGTCAAATGATTTTTGCAAGTTAACTGGTCCGGAATATGTATTTTCCGGACCAGTTAACTTGCAAAAATCATTTGACGACCTTCCCGAATGAGTTTTTGGCTGAATTTTTTTGTGGATAAACTAGACTTGATGGAGAACATGTCATAAAAATTTCATTGAAAAATTCCACCCGGAAGGCGGCCAAACGCCGCCGTCCGGACGGCGGTTCCGGTCAGGAATTCCTGACCGGAAGAGCACTCTATATATATATATATATATATATATATATATATATATATATATATATATATATATATATATATATATATAGGGTATGGTTCATGTGAGAACACTCTCTTAGGAGAGAAATGAGAACAAATCTTGATCATTTAAAATCTCAAATAAATGATGGTAGATCATTAGTGAAACGGTGGCATAATTGAAAATATACCCAACTTCAATTCACTAACGGAGAGTTAATCACGTTAAACTAACTGAAAAATTAACAATGAGGAAATAGTGCTCCGTAACTAAAAATTAATGAGTAACATACATGCTCTCCATTAAATTCGCTTACGTCACTTTCCATTTTAGATGCTTTCCACTAACGTATATGCTTGGTTGTATATATTATTATCCCCATATTTTAATTTGTTAATACTAAAATTTACTATTTCTTTTCTAATTAATTACAACATATTCTGTATATATTTCATCTATAT